ATTTTTCTGTTGTTAATAGCTTTCAAGTCAAGGTATGTGATTCCCTGTAGGAGAGACAAGGAAGATCAGCAGAAGCAATATCAAGAGTCATCTTATTTGTCTTATGACTTGTCTCTTTGGGACAGTTCAGTTTAGGAGTGTAAAACTTGCCTGTGCCCCTGGATTGGATCCAGATTCAACCTGAAATTATTTCTCATTGCATCTGTGGAAGCAGCATGTGGAGCAAATGGATATTCTAGAAAACTTGATTCAGAAGAAATCACTGTTCCAGACTTCACAACTGAGATGAGACGAGATGCTATCTAGATTATACTGCTGGGCTGTAAATAGTGTTCAACCAGAACTATGGAGGTTGTATGTAAGGAAATACAAAAGAGATTATTAAAGGAAGAGATTGTCAGTCTTCTCATCCTCAGGTAAAAGGTGATCTGACTTCTGAGCAGGAAGTATGCATTTAGAGCTGACTTTTCAGGAGATGTGAGAAGTTTTCTTGGTTCAGCCAGCTGTTGTGCTTTGTGTTCTTTTTGAGAGTTAATCCTTTAATAATGGCCTAAAAATGCTAAACAGATTGACAAAAGGATTGGGATTGGTCATGGCATTTGAAGAATGTAACTAAACAAAACTTGGACACCATGTTGTTGAAACTGAAATCACCTCCAATTTGTTTCATCATATTAATTTTTTCTATATATCTTGTTTCAAATTGCGTGGCAATGTATTAGTTTCACAATATTTCACAAACATTAATTGAGTTTACAAGTCCTGAAAAGCAAATCCTGTTTTCATTTTGCAAATGAATGAAAATGGAACAATGTCCTTATTCCTCCCTCCCCCCAAGTTCCTAATGGTACTGACACCTCTGAAATCTGGTCTTTTAGGTGACTGCCAACATACTGAGCATCGGTGTTCTGAATCTTGGTGTACGTGTACTTGTGGGGCTGCAGTGGAATACGCTTTGAAACTACCTAGCTTGGACATGTCAAGCAACGAAGCTGTGGTAGCACATCGCTTATTGTGGGATGCAAAATCTGCCTGAGAACCCAAGTAAATATTTGAGAGCTGGTATTGTGGAGCTGCAAGCTCCAGTAACAACACTGTTAGCAATATCTGAGTCATAACAGTGATGGTAACAGTGATGGAAGATATACATGAATGTCAGTGCTTAAAACGCAGGGTAATCAACATTTTGTCTCAACAGTTAACAACGTAGCTATTCAATAAGTTTACGAATTAAACATTTAATATTTACTTTATTTTTTAGAATAAAGCTGCCAAGCTTGCAAACAGAGGCTTTTGCTCCTTATTAACCAAGAAGTAGTCAAACCTAAGTCCACAGAGAATAACTTCTTACTGAGGGATTGTGAAATCCTGTATAGGATGAGATTCTCTTTCCC